CATCTCCTATATCGTGCAACTTATTACCCTTTTATCCAGACCCTTAAAGGCAGTGTCCGGAAAAAGCACTCTAGCTTACTTAAAGGCAGTGTCCACTCAAAAAGTCAGTTTTGGGATTTTGTGCTTACTCGGGCCTATTCGCTATGCTGGTGAGATTTTGTGCTTACCCGGGCCTATTCGCTATGCCAAACCCGAAAATCACCACTGGAGAGAGCGAAAACGGCGAAAAAAGGATCTAAGGCAGAAGGGAAATCAGCAACGGCTGCTGAATCCGAAAATCACCACTGGAGAGAGCGAAACGGCAAGGGCTATTCACACAGCAGGGGGCGGGGCCTTCCGCGGGGCGGATTAACGCTCCTAGCTTCTGGAGCAATCTTCCCGGTTCCAATTTCAAGTGTCGCTTCTGGAGCAATCTTCTCGGTTCCAATTTCAAGTCATTGGAGCAATCTTCTCGGTTCCAATTTCAAGTCACGCGTTTGCATCGCCTTTAGCGATATTTGATTATCGGAGGAAAAAATCGCTCCGAAAGCTAGGAGCGTGAATCCGTCCCGCGGAGGACCCCGCCCTGCTAGGAGCGTGAATCCGCCCCGCGGAAGGCCCCGCCCACTGCTGATTTCCCTTCTGCCTTAGATTCCTTTTTTGCCGTTTTCGCTCTCCCCAGTGGTGATTTTCGGATTCAGCAACGCTCTCTCCAGTGGTGATTTTCGGATTCAGCATAGCCAAGGCCCGGGTAAGCACAAAATCTCAAAATCGAGTTTTTGCCCGAACACTGCTCTCTAGTGTGGATTTTTGGATTCAGCATAATGAATAGGGCCGATAAGCCAAAATCTCAAAATCGAGTTTTTGCCCGGACACTGCCTTTAGAAATCTCAAAATTGAGTTTTTGCCCGGACACTGCCTTCAAATCTATTCTTGTTTTTCTCAGAAAAAGGAATGGATGATGACAACTTGTAACCACGCAATGTACGCAATAGTTGATGTATTCACACAGTTCTTCCCACAACTCAGCGAGCTAGTTTTACCATCTATCTACGAACAGTTCGCCGTTTGTATACAACAGAGTATGTTGTCTTTTGCAAATGCTAATTGCGTAGTCGATTTGAGAGACTAGTAGAAGTCTGATGTTAAGAAAACGAGCAGCTAGCACGATCTACGGTTAACTGTTTGGAGACTCTGATTTTGCTCAATGGCGAACGATTCACCGATGACATGTGGGAGAAAACGGTCAAACTTTTCCGACGTCTTTTTGCAGCTACACTACCGAAATCGTGAGTTCATTACGGAAAAGTTGCATGTGATCTTGATCTCAATATCTCATTTAGCCTGTTGACTTGGGAACCAGATCGACCTGCTTCGGGTGCTGTAAATGACTCAAACAACGAGGAGCTTGATGGCAAAGTTCCGAGCATTGACGGACGACCTAATGGGTAACCTCAATAATTTTTTGAACATCGATGTTCTGTGAATCATCCTCTTCTATCTTCAGGTCAATCCATCCCGACGCTGTGTTCTCTGAACAAATTGTTTTCTGTGTAGTGCAGTCAGAACTGGTGGATGCGGTTACGTCTATAGTTCTAGGAGCGAAGAAAAGCACAGGTGCATCCATTTTTCCATGAAAAACTTTTTATCAAGTGAATGAGTTTAGATGAAATAGTTCTGAGCATACCAGCGATGAAGTCTGAACAGCCCAATGGTTCAGACTACAATAACACTGTCAGCAAAGGTTTGTTCAGTACCATGGATCCCATTCTTTTACTGAGGTGCGTCAAAGTAGTGGACCGTTTACAGTTTTGTGACAGCGATAAATTATTTGTAGCCTTTGCGATGCATTGGGAGAGAGCCAGCGATTAGCAAAGCAGTTCAACGACAACAATGGACAGAGGACATTGTTATGGAAGGCTGGCCTTCGCGGTTCGAGCAAGCCCAATTTGATAAGGTCGGTTCCTATATTACATTATTTTATACGATTCGTTTCTATTGCTTCTCTGCATTTTGTCATTTACTGCCTATAGAGGCAGTGTCCGGGCACAAAAACTCGATTTTGAGATTTTGTGCTTACCCGGGCCAAAAACTCGATTTTGAGATTTTGTGCTTACCCGGGCCTATGTCTACTGCTGAATCCGAAAATCCACACTAGAGAGCGCGAAAACGCGAAAAAGCTCTCTAGTGCGGCTGAATCCGAAGATCCACATTGGAGAGCACAAAACGGCGAAAAAGGGCTCTAAGGCAGAAGGGAAATCAGCAGTAGGCGGGGCCTTCCGCTGGCCGGATTCACGCTCCTAGCTTCACGGGGCCTTCCGCGGGGCGGATTCACGCTCCTAGCTTCCTTAGGCGATTTTTTCGTTCCAGTAATCACCCTAATATCCTTACCGATTTTTTCGTTCCAGTAATCACCCTAATATCGTTACGGGCGGAGTGCACAGTAATCACCCTAATATCGTTACCGGCGAAGTACAAAGGAATAATCACCCTAATATCGCTACCGGCGGAGTGCAAACGCGTCGCTTGAATTTGGAACCGAGAAGATCGCTCCAGAAGCTAGTTGAAATTGGAACCGTATTGCTCCAGAAGCTAGGAGTGTGAATCCGCCCCGCGGATACGCCCCCTACTGATTTCCCTTCTGCCTTAGAGCCCTTTTTCGCCGTTTTCGCTCTCTCCAGTGGTGACTTTGGATTCAGCATAGTGAATAGGGCTCTCTAGTGTGGATTTTTGGATTCAGCATAATGAATAGGGCCGATAAGCCAAAATCTCAAAATCGAGTTTTTGCCCGGACACTGCCTTTAGAAATCTCAAAATCGAGTTTTTGCCCGGACACTGCCTTTGAGAAGAACCTCTGCAAAGCGGTAATCTCAAAATCGAGTTTTTGGGTGGACACTGCCTTTAAAGGCAGTGTCCGGGCAAAAATCACTCTAGCTTACTTAAAGGCAGTGTCCACTCAAAAAGTCAACTTGAGATTTTGTGCTTACCCGGCCCTATTCACTATGCTGTGAGATTTTGTGCTTACCCGGGCCTATTCGCTATGCCAATCCAGAAAATCACCACTGGAGAGAGCGAAAACGGCGAAAAAGGGTTAAATCCACATTGGAGAGCACAAAACGGCGAAAAAGGGCTCTAAGGCAGAAGGGAAATCAGCAACGGCTGCTGAATCCGAAAATCACCACTGGAGAGAGCGAAACGGCAAGGGCTACGCTCCTAGCTTCTGGAGCAATCTTCCCGGTTCCAATTTCAAGTGTCGCTTCTGGAGCAATCTTCTCGGTTCCAATTTCAAGTCATTGGAGCAATCTTCTCGGTTCCAATTTCAAGTCACGCGTTTGCATCGCCTTTAGCGATATTTGATTATCGGAGGAAAAAATCGCTCCGAAAGCTAGGAGCGTGAATCCGTCCCGCGGAGGACCCCGCCCTGCTAGGAGCGTGAATCCGCCCCGCGGAAGGCCCCGCCCATGCTGATTTCCCTTCTGCCTTAAAGCCCTTTTTCGCCGTTTCGCTCTCTCCAGTGGTGATTTTCGGACTCAGCATAGCACTCTCCAATGTGGATTTTCGGATTTGGCGTAGCGAGTATGCCCGGTGGTGATTTTCGGATTCAGCATAGCGAATAGGCCCGGGTGTGTGGATTTTTGGATTCAGCATAGTGAATAGGCCCGGGTAAGTTTCCGTCCCGCGTTAGAGCCCTTTTTCGCCGTTTGAACGGCTCCGCCCACCTACAATTTCCCTCCTGCGCTAGGGCCCTTTTTCGCCATTTTTGCGCACTCCAGCGTCGATTTTCAGATTCAGCATAGCGAATAGGCCCGGGTAAGCACAAAATCTCAAATTTCATAGTGAATAGGGCTCTCTAGTGTGGATTTTTGGATTCAGCATAATGAATAGGGCCGATAAGCCAAAATCTCAAAATCGAGTTTTTGCCCGGACACTGCCTTTAGAAATCTCAAAATTGAGTTTTTGCCCGGACACTGCCTTCAAATCTATTCTTGTTTTTCTCAGAAAAAGGAATGGATGATGACAACTTGTAACCACGCAATGTACGCAATAGTTGATGTATTCACACAGTTCTTCCCACAACTCAGCGAGCTAGTTTTACCATCTATCTACGAACAGTTCGCCGTTTGTATACAACAGAGTATGTTGTCTTTTGCAAATGCTAATTGCGTAGTCGATTTGAGAGACTAGTAGAAGTCTGATGTTAAGAAAACGAGCAGCTAGCACGATCTACGGTTAACTGTTTGGAGACTCTGATTTTGCTCAATGGCGAACGATTCACCGATGACATGTGGGAGAAAACGGTCAAACTTTTCCGACGTCTTTTTGCAGCTACACTACCGAAATCGTGAGTTCATTACGGAAAAGTTGCATGTGATCTTGATCTCAATATCTCATTTAGCCTGTTGACTTGGGAACCAGATCGACCTGCTTCGGGTGCTGTAAATGACTCAAACAACGAGGAGCTTGATGGCAAAGTTCCGAGCATTGACGGACGACCTAATGGGTAACCTCAATAATTTTTTGAACATCGATGTTCTGTGAATCATCCTCTTCTATCTTCAGGTCAATCCATCCCGACGCTGTGTTCTCTGAACAAATTGTTTTCTGTGTAGTGCAGTCAGAACTGGTGGATGCGGTTACGTCTATAGTTCTAGGAGCGAAGAAAAGCACAGGTGCATCCATTTTTCCATGAAAAACTTTTTATCAAGTGAATGAGTTTAGATGAAATAGTTCTGAGCATACCAGCGATGAAGTCTGAACAGCCCAATGGTTCAGACTACAATAACACTGTCAGCAAAGGTTTGTTCAGTACCATGGATCCCATTCTTTTACTGAGGTGCGTCAAAGTAGTGGACCGTTTACAGTTTTGTGACAGCGATAAATTATTTGTAGCCTTTGCGATGCATTGGGAGAGAGCCAGCGATTAGCAAAGCAGTTCAACGACAACAATGGACAGAGGACATTGTTATGGAAGGCTGGCCTTCGCGGTTCGAGCAAGCCCAATTTGATAAGGTCGGTTCCTATATTACATTATTTTATACGATTCGTTTCTATTGCTTCTCTGCATTTTGTCATTTACTGCCTATAGAGGCAGTGTCCGGGCAAAAACTCACTCTAGCTTACTTAAAGGCAGTGTCCACTCAAAAAGTCAAATTGAGATTTTGTGCTTACCCGGGCCTATTCGCCATGCTGAATCCGAAATCCACATTGGAGAGCACAAAACGGCGAAAAAGGGCTCTAAGGCAGAAGGGAAATCAGCAGTAGCGGGGCCTTCCGCGGGGCGGATTCACGCTCCTAGCTTCCTTGGCCTTCCGCGGAGCGAATTCACGCTCCTAGCTTCCGCAGAATTTTTTCGTTCCAGTAATCACCCTTATATTCGTTACCGGAGGAGTGCACAGTAATCACCCTAATATCGTTACCGGCGAAGTACAAAGGAATAATCACCCTAATATCGCTACCGGCGGAGTGCAAACGCGTCGCTTGCGGAAACGCCCCCTACTGATTTCCCTTCTGCCTTAGAGCCCTTTTTCGCCGTTTTCGCTCTCTACAGTGGTGAACGGCTCCGCCCACCTACAATTTCCCTCCTGCGCTAGGGCCCTTTTTCGCCATTTTTGCGCACTCCAGCGTCGATTTTCAGATTCAGCATAGTGAATAGGGCTCTCTAGTGTGGATTTTTGGATTCAGCATAATGAATAGGGCCGATAAGCCAAAATCTCAAAATCGAGTTTTTGCCCGGACACTGCCTTTAGAAATCTCAAAATCGAGTTTTTGCCCGGACACTGCCTTTGAGAAGAACCTCTGCAAAGCGGTAATCTCAAAATCGAGTTTTTGGGTGGACACTGCCTCCTATTGTATCGCTTTGAAGCTCACCATTCCAAATCGGAACCGCTTTGCAGAGGTTCTTCATTTGACACACTGTTAGGCCTCGGGCAGAGTTCACGCTATCTAAAGGCAGTGTCCGGACAAAAACCACTCTAGCTTACTTAAAGGCAGTGTCCACTCAAAAAGTCAATTTTTGAGATTTTGTGCTTACCCGGGTCTATTCGCTATGCTTATCCAGAAAATCACCACTGGAGAGAGCGAAAACGGCGAAAAAGGGTTAGGGAAATCAGCAGGGGGCGGGGCCTTCCGAGGGGCGGATTTATCAGCAGGGGGCGGGGCCTTCCGAATTCACACAGCAGGGGGCGGGGCCTTCCGCGGGGCGGATTAACGCTCCTAGCTTCTGGAGCAATCTTCCCGGTTCCAATTTCAAGTGTCGCTTCTGGAGCAATCTTCTCGGTTCCAATTTCAAGTCATTGGAGCAATCTTCTCGGTTCCAATTTCAAGTCACGCGTTTGCATCGCCTTTAGCGATATTTGATTATCGGAGGAAAAAATCGCTCCGAAAGCTAGGAGCGTGAATCCGTCCCGCGGAGGACCCCGCCCTGCTAGGAGCGTGAATCCGCCCCGCGGAAGGCCCCGCCCACTGCTGATTTCCCTTCTGCCTTAGATTCCTTTTTTGCCGTTTTCGCTCTCCCCAGTGGTGATTTTCGGATTCAGCAACGCTCTCTCCAGTGGTGATTTTCGGATTCAGCATAGCCAAGACTCTCTAGTGTGGATTTTTGGATTCAGCATAATGAATAGGGCCGATAAGCCAAAATCTCAAAATCGAGTTTTTGCCCGGACACTGCCTTTAGAAATCTCAAAATTGAGTTTTTGCCCGGACACTGCCTTCAAATCTATTCTTGTTTTTCTCAGAAAAAGGAATGGATGATGACAACTTGTAACCACGCAATGTACGCAATAGTTGATGTATTCACACAGTTCTTCCCACAACTCAGCGAGCTAGTTTTACCATCTATCTACGAACAGTTCGCCGTTTGTATACAACAGAGTATGTTGTCTTTTGCAAATGCTAATTGCGTAGTCGATTTGAGAGACTAGTAGAAGTCTGATGTTAAGAAAACGAGCAGCTAGCACGATCTACGGTTAACTGTTTGGAGACTCTGATTTTGCTCAATGGCGAACGATTCACCGATGACATGTGGGAGAAAACGGTCAAACTTTTCCGACGTCTTTTTGCAGCTACACTACCGAAATCGTGAGTTCATTACGGAAAAGTTGCATGTGATCTTGATCTCAATATCTCATTTAGCCTGTTGACTTGGGAACCAGATCGACCTGCTTCGGGTGCTGTAAATGACTCAAACAACGAGGAGCTTGATGGCAAAGTTCCGAGCATTGACGGACGACCTAATGGGTAACCTCAATAATTTTTTGAACATCGATGTTCTGTGAATCATCCTCTTCTATCTTCAGGTCAATCCATCCCGACGCTGTGTTCTCTGAACAAATTGTTTTCTGTGTAGTGCAGTCAGAACTGGTGGATGCGGTTACGTCTATAGTTCTAGGAGCGAAGAAAAGCACAGGTGCATCCATTTTTCCATGAAAAACTTTTTATCAAGTGAATGAGTTTAGATGAAATAGTTCTGAGCATACCAGCGATGAAGTCTGAACAGCCCAATGGTTCAGACTACAATAACACTGTCAGCAAAGGTTTGTTCAGTACCATGGATCCCATTCTTTTACTGAGGTGCGTCAAAGTAGTGGACCGTTTACAGTTTTGTGACAGCGATAAATTATTTGTAGCCTTTGCGATGCATTGGGAGAGAGCCAGCGATTAGCAAAGCAGTTCAACGACAACAATGGACAGAGGACATTGTTATGGAAGGCTGGCCTTCGCGGTTCGAGCAAGCCCAATTTGATAAGGTCGGTTCCTATATTACATTATTTTATACGATTCGTTTCTATTGCTTCTCTGCATTTTGTCATTTACTGCCTATAGAGGCGTGTCCGGGCAAAAACTCGATTTTGAGATTTTGTGCTTAGTCGGCTGTCCGGGCAAAAACTTCACTCTAGCTTACTTAAAGGCAGTGTCCACTCAAAAAGTCAGTTTTGAGATTTTGTGCTTACCAGGGCCTATTCGCTATGCTGGTGAGATTTTGTGCTTACCCGGGCCTATTCGCTATGCCAAACCCGAAAATCACCACTGGAGAGAGCGAAAACGGCGAAAAAAGGATCTAAGGCAGAAGGGAAATCAGCAACGGCTGCTGAATCCGAAAATCACCACTGGAGAGAGCGAAACGGCAAGGGCTACGCTCCTAGCTTCTGGAGCAATCTTCCCGGTTCCAATTTCAAGTGTCGCTTCTGGAGCAATCTTCTCGGTTCCAATTTCAAGTCATTGGAGCAATCTTCTCGGTTCCAATTTCAAGTCACGCGTTTGCATCGCCTTTAGCGATATTTGATTATCGGAGGAAAAAATCGCTCCGAAAGCTAGGAGCGTGAATCCGTCCCGCGGAGGACCCCGCCCTGCTAGGAGCGTGAATCCGCCCCGCGGAAGGCCCCGCCCATGCTGATTTCCCTTCTGCCTTAAAGCCCTTTTTCGCCGTTTTCGCGCTCTCTAGTGTGGATTTTTGGATTCAGCATAATGAATAGGGCCGATAAGCCAAAATCTCAAAATCGAGTTTTTGCCCGGACACTGCCTTTAGAAATCTCAAAATCGAGTTTTTGCCCGGACACTGCCTTTGAGAAGAACCTCTGCAAAGCGGTAATCTCAAAATCGAGTTTTTGGGTGGACACTGCCTTTAAAGGCAGTGTCCGGGCAAAAATCACTCTAGCTTACTTAAAGGCAGTGTCCACTCAAAAAGTCAACCTGAGATTTTGTGCTTACCCGGCCTATTCGCTATGCTGAATTCGAAAATCACCACTGGAGAGAGCGAAAACGGCGAAAAAAGGATCTAAGGCAGAAGGGAAATCAGCAGTAGGCGGGGCCTTCCGCTGGCCGGATTCACGCTCCTAGCTTCACGGGGCCTTCCGCGGGGCGGATTCACGCTCCTAGCTTCCTTAGGCGATTTTTTCGTTCCAGTAATCACCCTAATATCCTTACCGATTTTTTCGTTCCAGTAATCACCCTAATATCGTTACGGGCGGAGTGCACAGTAATCACCCTAATATCGTTACCGGCGAAGTACAAAGGAATAATCACCCTAATATCGCTACCGGCGGAGTGCAAACGCGTCGCTTGAATTTGGAACCGAGAAGATCGCTCCAGAAGCTAGTTGAAATTGGAACCGTCGGATGACCCCGCTCCGCTAGGAGCGTGAATCCGCCCCGCGGAAGGCCCCGCCCACTGCTGATTTCCCTTCTGCCTTAGATTCCTTTTTTGCCGTTTTCGCTCTCCCCAGTGGTGATTTTCGGATTCAGCAACGCTCTCTCCAGTGGTGATTTTCGGATTCAGCATAGCCAAGGCCCGGGTAAGCACAAAATCTCAAAATCGAGTTTTTGCCCGAACACTGCTCTCTAGTGTGGATTTTTGGATTCAGCATAATGAATAGGGCCGATAAGCCAAAATCTCAAAATCGAGTTTTTGCCCGGACACTGCCTTTAGAAATCTCAAAATTGAGTTTTTGCCCGGACACTGCCTTCAAATCTATTCTTGTTTTTCTCAGAAAAAGGAATGGATGATGACAACTTGTAACCACGCAATGTACGCAATAGTTGATGTATTCACACAGTTCTTCCCACAACTCAGCGAGCTAGTTTTACCATCTATCTACGAACAGTTCGCCGTTTGTATACAACAGAGTATGTTGTCTTTTGCAAATGCTAATTGCGTAGTCGATTTGAGAGACTAGTAGAAGTCTGATGTTAAGAAAACGAGCAGCTAGCACGATCTACGGTTAACTGTTTGGAGACTCTGATTTTGCTCAATGGCGAACGATTCACCGATGACATGTGGGAGAAAACGGTCAAACTTTTCCGACGTCTTTTTGCAGCTACACTACCGAAATCGTGAGTTCATTACGGAAAAGTTGCATGTGATCTTGATCTCAATATCTCATTTAGCCTGTTGACTTGGGAACCAGATCGACCTGCTTCGGGTGCTGTAAATGACTCAAACAACGAGGAGCTTGATGGCAAAGTTCCGAGCATTGACGGACGACCTAATGGGTAACCTCAATAATTTTTTGAACATCGATGTTCTGTGAATCATCCTCTTCTATCTTCAGGTCAATCCATCCCGACGCTGTGTTCTCTGAACAAATTGTTTTCTGTGTAGTGCAGTCAGAACTGGTGGATGCGGTTACGTCTATAGTTCTAGGAGCGAAGAAAAGCACAGGTGCATCCATTTTTCCATGAAAAACTTTTTATCAAGTGAATGAGTTTAGATGAAATAGTTCTGAGCATACCAGCGATGAAGTCTGAACAGCCCAATGGTTCAGACTACAATAACACTGTCAGCAAAGGTTTGTTCAGTACCATGGATCCCATTCTTTTACTGAGGTGCGTCAAAGTAGTGGACCGTTTACAGTTTTGTGACAGCGATAAATTATTTGTAGCCTTTGCGATGCATTGGGAGAGAGCCAGCGATTAGCAAAGCAGTTCAACGACAACAATGGACAGAGGACATTGTTATGGAAGGCTGGCCTTCGCGGTTCGAGCAAGCCCAATTTGATAAGGTCGGTTCCTATATTACATTATTTTATACGATTCGTTTCTATTGCTTCTCTGCATTTTGTCATTTACTGCCTATAGAGGCAGTGTCCGGGCAAAAACTCACTCTAGCTTACTTAAAGGCAGTGTCCACTCAAAAAGTCAAATTATCCAGAAAATCACCACTGGAGAGAGCGAAAACGGCGAAAAAGGGTTAAAATAGGCAGTGTCCGGGCAAAAACTCGATTTTGAGATTTCGTGCTTACCCGGGCCTATTCACTATGCTGAATCCAAAAATCCGCACTAGAAAGCGCGAAAACGGGAAAAAGGCCTCTAAGACGGAAGGGAGATCAGCAGGGGGCGGGGCCTTCCGCGGAGCGTATTCACGCTCTTAGCTTCCGCAGCGATTTTTTCGTT